GGAGAGAGGATCGGGGTTTGCGCTGGAGGCAGGGTCCGGTACCAGCCTGATGAAACCCGGTGCTACGGTGTCGTGTTCGGGAAGGAAAGATCGCGAAGATGAGCTGCAACCTGGCAGAAAACAAACTGTGCTTAAAAAAGGACCCCGAACGCCAGGAGTTTCCCTCTAATTTGATAATTACTGGTGCATGGAGAGGAGTGTGTTCTTCCCCCCCGCCTTATTTGCACTCTGAAGCACCTCATATATTTTTTTATATGTGAGGTCATTATTCTCTTAAGAGCTTCTGAGCACTGCCCCAGGTGCCACTATTCTAAATAGTTCCTGTTAGCCAAGTAAAAAACACTGTAACTGAATCAAAACTGTACTGTGTCTGAACCACGGCGGTAAGTTTATGCAGTGCAACAACGGGCAAACTTACTAGCATAAGTATCTGCTCAGAATTGAGTTACGTGGTTTGATGTACCACGTAAGACAGGCACTAGAGTGATTCGCCTCCCTGCAAACGGAAGCTTGAATATACACCAGGCGTTTTCTTCTCCCTCTTGCAGGAATAGGTTGTAATATATCCAGCAAAATCTCTCCCCCAAAGGTGTTAAACGGGAAGAGTATTACTTTGTATACATGAAGAAGTATTTCCTTAAATATCACTCTAGAATTTTGACAGGTGGTGGGGATTGTTGTTTGTTCCTGATTTCTTAAAAATAGTAAACCCTATTGCTTTATTAAAGTTCTGAAACAGTTCTGCTTTATTATTTTATTGAAATTGGAGTGTTATAGGCATGCTTTTGCTACTTTAATTGCGCTTTCAGTTCTTAATTTTAAATGTTTTAGCTCTTCATGTTGTTAAACCCTAGCTCGTAGTCGAATACTGACAGCTAAATACTTTGGCTTGTATTTCATGCATTGAAAAGAAATAAACCAATCCACAGAGAGGTTTTCTCGGTTCTCTCTGAAACAGAGATGGGAGGGCATTTTAAAAACCAAGGTAGTGCCTGGCTGTGTTTGTCGTCTTCCCTTCCCAGTCTATATATTGACGATGGCTGGCTTGGATACTTGTGATTGTGGCTGCTACTGCATTATGGGGAAAGAAGATCCTCTCTTAGGCAGACTGCTTCCAGATGACTGCATCCATATGTTGGCTCCCGATTAGGGCCATTGGCCCAGAGATCAAGATTGCAGCTAAAGTTTTAGGCAAATACCCGCTCTGTTGATGGTCTATTAACACATAGTGTGTGTTGTGCATTTTTAGAACGCCACGCTTCAGTGATGAATGTATGTTTTGTATGTACATTTATATGTTGTTACGTATAGCTTTGTGGTGTGTGGGTTTTTGTGTGTGTTTGGGTTGTTTTAAAGAAAATATAACTTCGCTATTTTACAATAATGTCAGTATTTTCCTGTAGGATCTAGGGGAAATAAATTGGTTCTTAGTTTTGAAATTCTATCCTGCTTGGTATTAAAAGCAAATACAGCAGTTTAAATATAGATCTTCAAGTAGCTTCTGGGAAACAAACTTATGAATGAATTGATTTTACTTTTAGTGTTCTTATAACTCTATTTTAAAATCATGAGGCTCAATAAGTAGCTTTGAAGTAAAATGCCTCAAGGCCATGTAGCCTTTCAGGTGAAGGTCTTTTATCCAAGCTAGTAGTGCTCAGAAGTCCAGGAAGTTTTGCTGTTATTTCTTTACTGTAGAAATGTTTCTTTCACAAGTGTGATTTATGATGTAATCTGTTTCAGTTAAGCTTTTTTTCATTATGTTTTGTTTAGTTGAGTGTGCTAATGCTTCTCAGGCTGTATAAATAAAAAATGATGATACTTTTTTTTAGGATAGGTTTGAAAAAAATATAAGAAGTTTACTGATAGATAAGAAGAATGAGTTCTGGTGCTAGGTTGAAGTACAGCCTATGGCATTGTGGTTTAATATTTTTAATGGCTTTTCTCTCTTCTAAGAAGCAGTGCAGATGACTACCACATGATATGACTAAGCCTTCCATTCAGTGCTTTTAAAAAAAGATGATCTCTGGAAACTCAAGGGGAAAACAAAAATCTATCAATAACCTTGGGCTGTTTCTTGGTTTTGGTAACTGTTGACTGAAGGAGACCACATATGTTCTGGTAAAGATCATGCTGTAGGATGCAGTCTTAGGTTTGTTTTCTACATTTATTTGACCTAATGGCCCAACACTGTCATGTTTGATAACTGATTGGTGCTATCTTGCAGCATGGTATGCGTACTGGAGATGCAGAAACCACGTAGCAGAAAGCTTTGAGCAGTTGTGGATTATCAGTTTCTCCCAACAGCAATAAAAAGTGAAGCATGAAGGCAACTGGATTTATTTCCCTATGGACGCTGGTTTCACTGCCTTGTGGCCAGTTAGCAAATACTGCAGAACATGAAGATGTAGTAAAGCATGCAATAAAGCTGCACCGTGGGAAAGGAGCTGTTATCACGCAGAGAAAGCAGTGGGTGTTGGAGAGCTGCAGAAAACTATCTGGTCTTCTTCGCCAGAAGAACGTTGTTCTCAACAAACTAAAAAATGCTATAAGAGCAGTTGAGAAGGATGCAGGACTGTCAGATGAAGAGAAACTTTTTCAGGTGCATACCTTTGAAATTTTCCAAAAGGAGCTAAATGAAAGTGAAAACTCGGTCTTTCAAGCAATCCATGGCCTCCAGAGAGCTCTACAGGGTGATTACAAAGATGTTGTAAATATGAAAGAAAGCAGTAGACAGAGACTGGAAGCCTTGAGAGAAGCTGCAATTAAGGTTAGTTACCCTATGTTTATTACTAGAGTATTAATATTCTACTTGTGATTATAATTTTATTATGGCATGGTTTCAACCTGTTTAATAAAATGTGGATCTAGATGAAACTTGCAATGTTTTACTGTTTAAAATGGATTTTGAATGAAGTGTTTGTTCTCATTTGTAAAATTAGAAGTAATTCTGGCGTAGAGCTTAAAACTTACTGGCAGTCAATAGGTCTTAGTTCTAAACAAAGCTAAGCATAATCGTAGACCTATGGCAAATATTATGTTAGAGGGAAGGGAATACAAGAAGTGAGTCAGTGCATGTAGCACAGTTGCACTAGATAAACCAGTGGGATTATCGGAGTGGAAATAATGCCATAAATTGGCAAAATACTAACTGCTTTTTCCACTTCAAATGAGAATTGCTCAACCAAAATCTACAATTTAAAGAGAATGACTTCTTGCCTTTTACTTCTGTGTTCGTATATATGTGGGTAAAACAGACATGCAAAATATGAGATGACTATAGATTTTTAATCTCAGCATAGCACTCCTGGCCTAAGAAGTGCAGGTTTGAAAAACAGTACTTCCAAGAAAGAGCTGGCCAAGATAACTTTACCAAGAAAAGCACAGATGAGTAACAGTTGAGCACAAGCACTTCATGGAAAGTTTGAGTTCCCATGTCAATGCAGACCTGTTAGGGTGTGCATAATCTGCTGCTGCACTTTGTAGTGCTCAGACAGTGTACTGAAAGTCTCCCATTGAGCAAAAACATTGTTTAATTGATTTGGTATTTAAATTGCTCTTTTCCTTGCTCTACCGCTTAACCGCTGGAGGAATATATTAAGAATTTTCTTTGTTTTCTGTCTTCTTTTAGAAGAGGCTGCCCTTGCACAAGGGAGCAAGAGAAGGAAAAAATTGTAATTGGCATATAGCATTTGGGCTGGGAGAATCTCTAAAGGGCATTTGTGTAAGAGATGTGCAGATCTTAACAGGTGAAGATGGCAAGAGACTGTGTGCAAGAATGATGTGCAGTTAATTGTGGCAAGAAAGACTGGTGGAAGTAGAAGTTAGGATGCAGACTTGGGAGACTGGAGTGGCCTGTGCAGTGAAAACAGTCTGAATTACAACAAATTTGGATAGGGAGTAGCTTGGATCTAGGTGTGTTTCAATGAAATGCTCAATATGACTTCGATATTGGTGCTTAATAGTAGCACCAGCCTCTGCTGCATAGAAATGGTAGCAATTGTCATGAAAATTTCTCAATTTTCCACCTTCTTTTTCCTTAGAGCTCTTAACATAGCAGCAGTGAAGCTGTCCAGAATATTCTTTCTCATTTACCTAATCCTTGGCAACGTTACTGTGAAATACTGAAGTAACCTATCCTTGAACTTGAGAATGGCGCTTCTTCACTTTTCTCATAAAAGGATGCCTCTGTGTATAATGATGTGTTTTAGATGTGTGTCCTGTCAAAACTTTACTTCTGTAGAGGTGGATTGTGTAGGCTTTTTTTTGTTATAATCGTATCAAGTTATTTACTTGAATGAGCAATCTTTTATACCCTTCCTTCTTATGTCAAGCGCATGATTATTTAAGCAGAATATTTGTTGTTCTAACCTTACAATTGTTACATAAAGTGAAACAAAGGATAGTGGGGAAATGCATGCCAAAAAGATGAAAATTACATGGGAGACGTTTTTTGGATGACTTCTTCAGAAGACACACATTAGGTCCAATTTTGTTCCAGTTCCGTTTTACAGTAATGCTTACTTTGTTGGTCTACTCATAAGACATCCTTTCCATTTTTTTTAAAACAGTGATGGAAAGGAAAATACAAATTACTGTAGAGGGTGCTGGACTCTTCCCTTCATTTTATTTCTGTTGAGTTAAAGTAATTGGAAGTCTTTCGTATTGGGATATATACGCATGTCTGATGCATTTCTTGCTGGTTCTGCTGCTGGGAAAAGGTATAGCGGAACCATTCGGGGCAGGGGGGAGGGAAGGAAGAAGCGCTGAAGGTAGCTTCTGCCTTCCTTTGCTCTGGGAATCTGTGTGGAGGTTCAGGAAAAAGCAACAAAATCTTACTTACTTTTTTTCAGCTTCTAATTTCTTGGGTGCCTAGTAGTCAGACGTTGATGGAAAAAATGTGAAGCACTGGAACAGGTTGCACAGAGAGGTAGTGGAGGCCCCAACCCTAGAAACATTGAAGGTCAGGTTGGACGGGGTTCTGAGCAACCTGATCTGGTTAAAGCTGTCCCTGCTCGCTGCAGGGGAGTTGGGCTAGATGACCTCTAAAGGTCCCTTCCAACCCAAAGCATTCTGTGATTCATCCTCTTCTGAATGTGCTTTTTTCATCCCTGATTAAACAGTAGAGAGCAACAGCAATGCTGCATCCTTAACTAGCATTGCCCCAAACTCTTACTTAATCTTACTCCATTTTGCTCATGTGTTTCTAGGTGTTCCAGTCTCCTGTTTAGTGCACAACCCTTATTACCTTGCTTAAAAGATTGTTTGGTATGTACCTTCTGATCACATGTTTCCAATCCCAGCATGACTTGCAGAACAGTGTTTGTGCTGTGATGCCCTTCTGCTTAACATGTAGCAGGCTGTGTGAGAGAACCTGTCTTTTTCATGGACACCATTCTTTGTGATTGTCCCACTCTACTGCCATGGCACTGGTCTGTAGGTGAAAACAGAGATGCCACTTTAATAGGCTACAAAAACCTTTGTCTTCATTAATTAAAGGAACTTACAGTTGAACTCAGATTTTTCAAAGCTCTTCTATCTTGCTATTCAGAGAAAGTTACCTTCTTGCAAATTAGAGTGTTACTTACTTTTCTGCAGATTACCTCTAGCTCTCTTCAGCCTGTTTGTCTCAGCCGACAGAAAGGACTAGTTGGTTCCCTCTACCTGTTCCATTTTTTAGGGGAAAGATTCTAACCCTTATCAATTCCATCTTGCATTCTAAGTTGTTGCTGACTGAGGAAAGAATCTGCAGCTCATACAGGGGCTGTTTTCTACATCTTTCAAGCAGTGTCTGCTAGCAGAGAACAACAGATAGGAAATGTTTTTCCTTGAGGCTGTATGAGAGTGACTGTGTCTCTTGCTTACGTGTTGCATAAGAACTAAAGCAGTTGACATTGGGCCAAATGCATTAATAGTTACATTTTTCCCAACTCAGTTATTTTGGGAACTGGGTAATTTTCATCATGCCGGTGTAACTATGGTAATTCTAAACACCAATAGACAGCAATTCTGTGGTTTCATCACAACCAGAGGTATTCATCTGACTGTCAGGATTTTAAAAGGGTTAAGCTACAGTTACAGGCTGTACTGAACATATTCTTGTCTTGGCATCAAGGAATGGATTAAATTACATTCATGTTCTTGCAGGTTTCAAGGGGAAAAATGTTCATCCACAAACATGTGTGGAGGAGGGGACACTCCAGTTATTTAAGCATAAGAGTTTAGGACCATTTTAGATGCCCAGATTATCTAAGGTATCTGTGTAGGGTAGGCAGATAAAACACACAACCTAAGGGGGACCTATGTTCTATCTGATTTCTAACTGGGTGTGGCCGGGCATCTAAAACAGAGAGAGAAACTTGAGTTTTCTGGGAATTCAGTCTGACCTAGAGATTGCTTGTATTTTTTGCCCAGTCTGTTTTTTCCCTTGGTAATAATATTGGCTCTCATAAAGAACAGATGTAGGGTGTCTCTCATCTAAATCTTTAAAAGAATGTAGGCATGTAAAGTGAAGCATCTTATCTTTTTTCCAAAAAACCTCAAATTATACTCTGTCAATACACAAAGGATTATATTTGGTTATTGTCTTGGTAACCATGTAGAAGGAACAATGTTAAGTCCAGTCTTGATCAGTAAATAAAACTTACTTTTTTAGTTCTCTTTTTGAACCTGAAACATCATAACTTTATCAGGGAAGCTACTTAAATATTTTTACACCATATCAAACCACATCAGTGTTTTTAATTTTCTTACTTCTGAAGCCTAGAAATGGATTTCAGAAGTCACTAGTGCAAGTTCGTAGGAAGCCCAAACTGTAAAGATGGACAAAGTAAAATATTTTACTTCTGATAGGAAAAATGCTTCTTGGGGAAGCTTAAGCAGGAACCTCAGCTAGAGTGCTTGACTGCTCATCTGTACTCTCTCCCAACTGCTTTTATTTTTGTGTTGCTGTTTCCACAGTTGTTGTAATTTTTGAAAACCATAAACAGACCTCTTCCCACGTTTATAAAATGGCTTATAAAATTAAGATTCATTGTGTTTTCCTCCCAATTTGTTTGTTTGTTGTAACTAGTAAAGCTATGCTTTCAAGGTTATTATACTTCCCTGCTAAAATACTGAGCTCTAAACTTTACTTGGCTCTGAAATGTTTCCTAGAGTGCCTTAAAGTAATTCCTTTCTTGTGTTTTCTGGATTGTAACCTTGGGGCAGCTCTACTCTTTAATGGATTAAAAAAGGCAATTGGTGGATATTTTGTTTGGCTGTTGTTTTTCGTGCCCACTTCCCCCAGCAAAAATTGGCACAAGAGAAAGCAATCTTCAAATATCATTTTAAAGTCTATATTGCTTTTGCAATTCCACTCCTAAGATCTTTTGTGTCAAAAGAAGCGTACGTTTATGTCAAATGTTTTCCTGCTCGAAGGCCTGGCCAGCACTTTATCTGTGTGTTGTAAAATTCAACAGGAAGAAATGGAATACGTCGAACTCTTAGCAGCAGAAAAACATCAGGTTGAAGCCCTTAAGAACATGCAGCATCAAAACAAAAGCCTGTCAATGCTTGATGAAATTCTAGAAGATGTCAGGAAGGCAGCTGATAGATTGGAAGAGGAAATAGAAGAGCATGCTTTTGATGACAACAAATCTGTAAGTGATTATTTTTAGAGTTAGTATTTTCATTGCTGTGCATTTTTTTTTTTTCAGTTGATATTTGCACTGTAGGGGTGTTTCTCTTGTGTTAAATAGTTGTTAGGATTTTAGTGACTATTTAAAGAAAACAAACAAACAAAAACCACCAAAAAACTTTAGGTTCTACATTTGGTTTTACTTCCCTTTCAACAGAAGAAAGTGTTTAATGGTAGAATTATTGCTTGTTAGGAGTGAGCAAACGGGAATAATTACTCCTTTTTGCTAGTGATTTCTGTGGTTCTGATTTGAAAGTCCTCCCTGCAGCTGCCGCTTTGACAGCGACAAGTGTAGTCCACCTCGCTGATAGAGCCCATGAGACTTAATGACATCTCGGTGGTGGTGGTGGTGGGGACTGTGATATTTAGACTTTGCAGGATACGGAGTTACCGCATTAAGTGTCATCTCCACTTTTTTCTCTTTCATTTTGTTGAGAAAGTTATGGGAGAACAACAATCCTTGCAGTTAGTTTTCACAGTCTGGGAAAAGATATATTGTTCAAGGTAAGGACTTGAAATGTGTTCGTAGTGTTGCTTTCTTCCACTTCTAACCTCCTCTGCTTTTCGTACCTTGGCCTATTTGCATTGTTCATTGTTTCTATGCTGCATGATGAACAGTATGCCTCAGGTAAGGTTGTATGTATTTGGAGCTGGGAGTACATCAGTTTATTCTAGTGTCGCATTGTGCCATCCTCGGAGACTGACTCTCTAAACTGGTCCTGTTTGCATAAACATGGGTTGCAATTTTATTTGGCCTTTGCTCTTGAAAGGTTTTTGTTCATTTGCAGATTGACTTCCAAGGCAAGCATAGCTCTTGAACTCTGCTGAGGAGTAAAAACAGTTGCGCTGTAGTAGAGAGCCAGGCCATTTTTTTGTAGTTGTACTTGTATTGAGAGAAAGCAGAGAAAGCAGCTTTTTATTTTGTATACACCAGATCGCAGCAATTGTCCCCAGTGGGAATCCTACCTAGCCAGACCAACAGCCGGGAAGGGACGAGCTAGCTGGAGTGCCCTCTTCTGTTCCACTGGGGTATAACGGCACGTTTTAAAGAGGCCAGAAATGAAGTTTCTGCTGCTACACCTGTTAATTGGCAAAATGCCAACACATCCTTTTTCTCCAGTGTCTCTCTTTTGGTTTTCTGCTTCTGTCTCTGTTCAGGAGAGAAAAGGAATTGTGAAATGCAACCTGGAGGAGTATTTACATGTCCATCTTTGCAAGAAACATCTAGTGTGTTTTCTCTTAAGCTAGAACACTGGAACATTAGAACAAAGAAGGTCTAATAGAATCATCAGTAATCTGATAAAGATAAAAATGCTTCTATTAACATATAATCAAATAGAGATGTGTAATAGGTAAAAAAGAAAAAAAAAAAAAAGAATCTGAGCTAACACAGTTACGGCAAGACAAGAGTATTTGCGCACTGTATTCTGTTATGTACAACCTGCTTTCAGGAATTGCTGTTTTAGGAAATAAAATCCTGAAAATAACTGTTTTCTTTCATTATGTCCTCAAATTTATTAGTATTTAAAAGCTCATCTGAACCTGTGCCATCTACTCTTGCTCTTCTAGCATAGTCTGTCTTTTGTCAGTTCCCTTTTCTTTTGTAAAAGTAAAAATGCACCATAATACCCACACAATGTATGATTTTTATATGTATTACACAAAAAAATGTTCTGCATAATGTCTCAATCTTATAACATCTTCCCTTTTTTCCTAATATTGTGCCTGACCTAGACTGAACTCCACTAGATGAGGAATGTATTTATCCAATTGCATTGCTTTTATATGATCTTTGATACATTTTTAATTTTGATGCAAAGAAGTTTGGTTAGATTCCAGACACACAAGCTACCAAGTACAAAGGAACATACAACAAACTCTATATAAATTTGGAGTTCCAGAGCTTCAAAGTAGATGCTTCACTGCTGATGTATTTTGTAAGATAATTTTGCTTAGTGAATGCTATTGCTGATGTCATAACATTAAATTCCTAAGAAGATACTAGAACAGGTGTTGGCTTATTAGCATTTTGGTTTTTAGGCAAAGTAATGGTCATCTGCACGATGGGGACACTGCACTGAACAGTGAAAGAATTCCAATGTGAAAGTCAGTGCAAAGTATGTTTTATATTGCAGAGCCCACATTTAACAGTAATCTCTAAGCTCTGTTTTAGTATTTCTGGAGTAGCAATGAAGGTGTGAGAGAGCAGGTCAGGAGCAAAGATGACAGAAAAGCAGTAGGATTGGGCACTTACTGTGTGTTCTGATTAGAAACAGTTCTTCATGTTTGCTGACTGCAGGGAAGCCTTTCTTCTTTGCTCCAATACTGTGAGAATAGTTTGCATGTACGTGGCATGCAGCTGTTCGTGCTTTCTCCCATCAGCTGAAAACGTGAAAACATGGTTTGGTCTCTTAGACTTGGCAATGGACACCTCATTCTGGAATGCAAAATAGCCTGGTAAGTGGGGAGCTTAGGGAAGTAAAGGCAAAATATATATTTAAAAAGACACGTTTTTGGCAAAAAAGGGTGAAAAGACAACTTTCATAATGCATAAAAAGAAAATGGTCATCAGCCTCTCACTCCCACAGCTAAAAATGCTGATGCTTGAAGCCGCTATTTTATGTTTCTAAATAATTCTGCAGACTTCATAATTCCTTTTTCCCCCTGTCTGATTCTTAGTGACTTCCAGTTCTTTAGAGGCCCATCATACTGCATGATGTACAAAAACAGGGGAAGAGGTCATTCCCATGATAAAAGTTTTTATTTCATTATACACACACAAATGTAAGGAGTGGAAGAAAAGGATAAAAATTGCAGGTTAAGTATTAAATATTGAAAATGCAATATTTATCTGAACAGTTTGGGGAAATGTGCTGGGGAATCAGCAAAGAAAAATAGGAGGCTGTTTCATAGGTGGCTTATATGAATGTATTTCTTAATTAAATTGGGGATTTGCTTGGGCAAAATATGGCAGTCCAGAAAAGTTGAATGTTTTGTAGTCAGTTATTGCTATGATAAGAGCCTACTCTCTTTACTGGAGTCTAAAAGAAGTAACAACCTTAACTGTTTCTGAATATTGGTAAAATCTATATTATTTAAAATACAGCAAATAATGAAATCATCCTAGTATCTTCCATTTTATAATTACAGGCACTGAAGACAAAGCTAGATAGAAACAGTTCTTATCCTCTCTCCTTCAAATTTACAGGACTGACTTTTTCTTGACTTGGAATGCAGTCATTATTTCAGATTTTTGTGAACTGAATATCACTTTGTAATCTCTAATTGTTTTTGTTCAAGGGAATAGAATGTTACATTTCAGTCCAACATTTTGTGTTCTAAATGTGATAAAGCTTTTTTTTTAAAACAAATGTTTCAGATTAGATGCAATTGAAAGTAACTGGATTGGAATTTTACAGCTTCAAAACTCAGTGTCTATATTTGTTGGTTGGACAACTTGGCTAAAGAGGTCTGGAAAACCCCTTATTTTTAAAATGTAAAGCAAATTATAGCCTTTTCAGTTATGGACATCAAGTTTTAATAAAGAGACTGAAAGACTTCTCTAAGAAGAAACTGCAGTATGTTTAGTCAGTGTCAACAAATTCTGGAGCAACTTCAAGCACCACTAACAGTCTTTCTCTTTTTACTGTATGCTGCATTGACCCCCTTTTTTTATTTGCTTTCTTTTTCTTGCAGGTAAGAGGTGTAAACTTTGAAGCAGTTTTAAGGGTGGAAGAAGATGAAGCCAGCTCCAAAAGAAATGCTTCAAAAAGAGAAGTAGAGGATGACTTAGGTCTTAGTATGCTTATTGATTCCCAAAACAATCAGTATATCCTTACCAAGCCCAGAGATTCAACCATTCCTCGTGCTGATCATCATTTCATAAAGGTAATAATTTTGGAGGCATTCTTGTCATTCGTTTTGGTAAGATTTAGTCCCACTAGTTTGCATGACAGTACTGCTTGGTTGGATTGAATATAGTTTCAGCATTTGTTCCCCTAAAGTTACCCTAGCATTCATGATTCCCCTGCCTACTGGTGATCTGGCCAATGCGTTCCCTACTTCTAGTACAGTCTTTACAAGACTGACTGTGATACCACATGAATCCTCTCTGTTTTTATTTAACTTGTTGCACCTTTGGGGCATCAATCCTTCTCTCGGACTGCATAGTGTTAAAGCAAGCTACTGCTGTGCCTGATAAGCCACTTGCATGTTGTCACTAGAGAGAATTTATCTGTTTATGTCTTGTGATGAAAAATGGGATGCTGGAAAATACATAGACATGTTTTTTATTGTATTTGTGCTTCTATGAAGAATAACTGGATTGGGAGTTAAAAAAAAAACAAACCCAAAAACCAACAAAAAACAACCACCACCAAAATGGATCTGTTTCACCATTTTGTTTTAATGCAAAGTGTCATTCCCCCCACAATTCCCCAGGAAATTGTCTACTTCCTATAATGTATTTAAAATATTTAATAAATAAAATGGGTTGGGTAGCCGAGACCAGAGAATAGTGGTAAATGGAGTTAAGTCCAGTTGGTGGCCGGTCATGAGCGGTGTTCCCCAGGGCTCAGTATTGGGGCCCCTCTTGTTTAATATCTTTATCAACGGTCTGGACGAGGGGATTGAGTGCACCCTCAGTAAGTTTGCAG